CAAAACTAGTTGGGAGTGGTGGCGCATGCCTACAAAAAAATTATTATTTCTGGAAAAGAAAAATTTTGAGGCAAGTGATAAGACAGAGTTTACAAAAAAAGAAAAAGAAAGGAAAAAATGCCATGGATTTTTTTTTTTTTTTTTTGAGACAGAGTCACGCTCTTGTTGCCCAGGCTGGAGTGCAATGGCATGATCTCAGCTCACCACAACCTCCACCTCCCGGGTTCAAGTGATTCTTCTACCTCAGCCTCCCAAGTAGCTGGGATTACAGGTGCCCGTCACCCGGCCTAGCTAATTTTTTCTATCTTTAGTAGAGATAGGGTTTCACTATGTTGGTCAGACTAGTCTTAAATTCCCAGGCAATCCACTTGCCTCGGCCTCCCAAAGTGCTGGGATTACAGGCGTGATTACACTGCGCCTGGCCAGTCATGGATCTTTAGAAGCAAACTTTCCCCACAAGGATAAAACATACATGCATTAGGGCTGGGGGCAAGGGGGAATCTCAATGTCATTCCTGTTTTAGAGATTCTACCAGAGAAGTGAAGAAAAGACAGGTTCTCACAACATTGCTAGATACAATGCAACCCCTCTCGTCTGCTGTTCCTTTCAGAAACAGCGGCATGACATCCAAAGAATGCAATGTTTCCCAATGGATAAAACACCCAAACACCTAGCAAAGTTCAAACTGGACAAAGAAGTTCCTAAAAGGCAAAGGCCTGGACAACAACTACTCAGCCATTTCCTTCCTGTTCTAAGCTGCAATCACTTATGATTGAGCCTTCGGGGAGAAAAGAATATGGCCAACTGTGTTTACTCTACTACGTTCTTTTTTGGGGGTGGTGGGGCAGCATGGTTTCTTTCTTTTTGCTTCCTTACACTCTGGGAGTTTCTGGGAACAGCGTTCTCAAAGACTCTCTACTAGGCTAGAGTACAGTGGTGATCACTGGAACCTCAAACTCCTGTGCTCCAGTGATCCTCCACTCTGCCTTCCAAGTAGCTAGGACCCTAGTAGGTGTGTGCTACCATGCCCAGCTAACTTTTTTTCTTTTTTTTTTTTTTGAGAGCTGGAAGGGTCTTGCTATGTTTCCCAAGCTGATCTCTAACTCATAGCTCAAGCACTCCTCTCTCTTTGGCCTTCCAAAGTACTGAGATTACAGGCGTGAGCCACGGCCCTTAACCTACTACCTCTAGACCTCCTCTGAGTCTTCCTGAGTTCAGACTCTGGCATATGGGAAATTCACGGTCAAAATATAAATGGTTCTTTCTACACATGGAACTAGCCTATCAGATGGTTCTGCTAGTGCCAAATAGGAAGCAAAAATGCTGGCATTCTTCCCAACCTTTTTCCTTCTTTTCCTTTCCCCAGCAGCCCTACCCTAAGCCCAAAAAATTATAAATCTGTTAATTTCTACTATTCAGAAAGGTGAGTCAACTAAACTCACTTTCAAAATAAGGATGTTAATGCCCATAAGACTATTTGAAGATCAAAATAACTATGTACAAAAGCATTATAAATATATCAAGGGTGATAATTAGGAAAAAGCATAAATGTTTTAATGGGAAATTTTGCAGACATAAACAGCTCTAAAATAGATGCTTCTATCCTATGACTACATCCCAAATGATGATCTGGAATCTTTGAGATTTAGGGACGGTTGCCTCCTCTAAAGTCTTCCTAGCTTCTCTGAAGTGCTTTGTGTAACGCATCAAGCTTAGACTATTCCAACGTCCACCACATGGTGCGATATGTCTTGTTTTAAAATGGAAAATCCAAATAAATTCAGTCATTT